AAAAAACCTTTAGATTTAGACATTATAAATCTTATTAAAACAAACACTTATTTCGCTCAGAGAATCCAAAAATGCAATAATATATAGGATATTTCATTTAGAAAAACACAACTTTGATACTTTTAGGGCTTTTCGGGCACTCTGTACATTACAAAAATATTTTTAAAATGTGCACCCGATAGGCGTCTGTGGATTCATCAAATAATACTTTGCAAAAAACAAACTGGCTAGCCGCAAACGTCCGTGCCGTATAGCGTGACTAACCCTGTATAATTAGTACGCGATGAACGAAATCAAAAAAGTCTTTTAATATATTTTTATTTTAATCTAAAAATCTCAATGCGGAAAGAATGTGTTGCGACAAATTCGCAAACAATAAATGCAAATTAAATAAAAGAAATTATACTCAAGTAATTGAAAAAATCTTAGAAAAAAGCATTTTTTCATTAAAACTAAAAAGTTTAAATTTAAAAAAATCTTATCTCAAAAAAATCAAATCTCCAAATACTTATTTGAACGAAAATATGATAACACGACATTATAACAATTCAATATGTATATGTAATTATTAATTTTTTTTAATTGTTATAGTCTTCAAACGTATTTTTAAGTTCTTGCTTCTCCACTATAAATAAATATTTATATTGCATCAAATAGTGCCAATTCATAGATTTATTTGTATTTAATGGCAATTTTAAGCCAATTTACATTTAAAGAAGCCGGTTATTCATGTTTTAGTTTTATCGATAAGTTTGTTTATTGAGATGTATTGTTTTCAGTTTAATATTGCCCTACAAATCCCGAACTTAATCGGAAAACTGGAAACGCGAAAAAATTGGAGAATGTTAAGTCTTATAGGTATTTATCATATTCGTTCCAGAATTCGATGAGTGAAGTAAGAATGACCATGAAATAACTTGATCAAGTAGCACAAGAACTTATATACATCGGTTCAGTGAGTTCAGTTCAACTTAAATACATTTCACATTTAGGATTTGATAGCCAGTGCGAGCCATAGCAATTGAAAAAAAAACAGGATACGCTTGCAACATTTTGCAAGCAAGTTGATTAAGTATGACAGAATATGCAAAAGGGCTGTTGTACAAGTCATGCTCTCTAAGTGCCTATTGGAACAGATAAATCAAGAAGCAGATAAAATTTTGCTCAGGAAATGGCTACACAATAACGCATCCAATAAAAGGACAGTTATACGTGAATGTTCAGAATTGACCCAATATCAACAGATGATTTTAGCTAGAATGTCCAAAAATGACTACAAATATTTTAATTTTTTAAGTCGTTTTGAAACCGATTTAATAAAAAAATAGAGTCTAAATTAAAGCATTCAATTTACCTGATTTTCCAACTCTTGGGCTGCCTAGCACCACCACTTTGATCCTATTAACATTCGTCATTCTATCAGTTTTCAGTAAATTTAAAATTCGACCGCTCGCACTTCACACCTTTTTGCAGACTTTAACCGAAATCCCGCCAAATTATGTTGCACTGTTTATGCCAATTTTTCAGTCACCCGGAGATGTTTTTCACTAAACAAAATTGAAAATTTGGGAAAAAGTAAACGAGAAAAGTGTACCCTTACAGCGATGAAGCTTCTACAAGAATTCAGTTCTTCCTTATCGGCAAACCGATAAAATCAATTGACTCGCGTGTCGGAGGACCGGTTAAACCATTGCAAACAGCCGGCGTTAGTTTTGACGACTTACAGTCGAGTGCCGTCAAGGTACTGCTTTTACAGCTTGGTTCTCGTTCACAGTCCTCTCTCCAGCATACCCCGTTTCTTTTTATAGTAAAACTCCAAAGGATGGAAAGGATAATTCGCTAATTTATTTTCGGTATTGTATCCGTACTTCGTCCAAACCAAACCTCCTCAATATTTTTAAGTCCCGCAGTGAAATTCGCCTGAACGAGTTTGGATTTCATTCATGGTTGTAACTAGCTCAAAGTTAAAACACAATTATGTTAAATAGCTAAAAGCCACAGAAATATGAGTGCTGAAAAATCGTGTAATTGAATAAGTCAATTAACAAGCTTAAAATGTAAGCAAGTTTGAGTAATATCTAATATAATGCTAAATATTTTTATACAAGCGATTTTGGTAACGGGTGGTGACTCTTAATAAGTTTAAGCTCTTTAAAATGCTTTAATATTGAATTCCACAACATTACATTTCCTGACGTAGTTAACTATTTATTAAATAAAAAATGTTCAAGCTGCGAAATAAACACAGGGGGTTTCCTCATAAGTTAAGACCCTCTCTAGATAATTTATTTAAAAAAATAGTGAAAGTTGCAAATACAAAACTTGCTTATTGTTACACCGATTTTCAAAATATGAACTAAAAATAAAAATACGAAAAATGTAAATGTGAAAATTTAACCATATCATAGTTTGTATAGACAGATCAATAGGATTAATTTTCTTGATTTCATTTTTATATTATTATTGTTAATATTATTATTGCCTAGAATTTTTTGCTCTATTGTCTTTTTATTACGTTTAAAAAATTACGAATACCAACAAATCAAAATTGATACTTATACAAAAATACAGGGTAGTTTTTTAGTGGCACAGAGTCCATTATTTCCGATGGTGTTGAACTTTCGAAAAATAGTTTCATATAAAAGTTGTTGACGCACAAAGTGCGCACATTTTAAAAATATCTTATATGATACAGAGTGACTCAGAAAAGCGAGGCAAGATCAAAGTGTATTTTTTTAAATAGAACTACCCATTTTTTATTAGCCCATGGAATACAGCTTGAAACTCTGCAAATGCACCGTAAGTTGTTTTTTTCTTACTTGCGACGTTGCCAGATTATCGCCATTTTAGTAAAATTTTGCTTAAAAACATGGTTTCTAAAAATTCATTGTAGAAGCAAAAAAAGCAGTTAGAGATGCAAAAAATACGTCTTTTGGTCATAAAAAATGGACTTTATCGCACCAAAAAACCAACCTGTATATCAGTGGTGATTTTTTTTCTATGACTAGTACCGGGATCTTCCGAACTAGAGCAGTTAGGAAGAAGGTCAAATAGACAAATAATTGTAATTTTGAACGCTCTACTCAGCCAATTTTATATTTCTAAAATTTGACAGCAGTCAAAAGATATTTGGGAAAAACCTATTTATGGCAAATTTTTAAATTACTCCTAGTTCCGTTGAAAGGTAAACATTAAACAGAAAGCTTGTAGAAAATTGGCATAAGACATTTCTCCAAAGTTAAAAATAATAAAAAAAATTTAAATAGCAACCATACTTGATATAATTTTGTGATATATCACATTGTTAGGTTTTTTTCGAAAATAAAGTGTCTGCGAACAATTTATACTTTTTCAATTTATTTGAAATAAGTATAATTGAAAATAGTATAAGACATAGCATTGTTTCCATAGCAACAAATAATAACAGTATGCTTCAGTATTTATTTTGACAACTACGTTAAAGTTGGCAATAACTTTATTTTAATTAAGACGGCTGCTCATTTAAAGTGTTTATTATAAAAATCAAATCATACCAATAATAATTGAAATTTAACTCTAGAAACTTTAATTTTCAATTGCAAAACATTTTCAAAAAGTACACCGTTATTATCAATGCAATATTTGCAAAAATTACTTTAAAATTGAATAAGTTGCTTTTCTTACGGATCGACCATCAATATTTTCAAATCCTCTAACAGCTTCTTTAAGTGCATTTAAATTGCAATATTGGTTTTCCACAAAAAGAAATCCAAAGGGGAAAGATCCGGTGATCGAGGTGGCCATCGAGGTAACATAGGGCCGTTTCGTCCAAACCATTCCATTTCATTCCAAAAATGTTCATTGTGTCGATTAAACATACTACAGTTTGTAAATAGAGTTTTATAGGTCCACAATATTTTATAAGAGAATTTGATGTCTTGTTGGCATTTGTTTCGCAGCCATGTACAAAAGTTCACACGCAGCTTCTCATACCCTGGATGTAAAGTTTGGGATATTGATAATTTATGCGGTTGGAATTTGTGTTTTTTTAAACTCTCATCACGGTGCTTTGGGAAGTCCCGGATTCTGCTGCGATCTCTCTGATTGAAATCTGTGGATTCTGGCTTACAATGGGCAAGGCATTGACCTGCACAGCTTCATTTGTTACTTTTTCTTCATTTCTGGGCTGCCTAAAACTTCCATAAGTGCCCAAATTGTCGTATAATCGTTTGAATGTTTTCAAGGACGGTTGACGACGGTCAAAGAACTTTGCAAAATAGTGATCAGAAGTTCGTCTAGCATTTTCATCACATCTAATGCAATAATTCATTTTAACAATAAAACTAGCTTACATTTCCAACTATACTTGAACTTAATCTTGAATGTCAAAAATTGAAAGATGTTATTATTTTTTGTTATGGAAACAATGCTATATGTCTTATACTATTTTCCAGCACTTTCAAAATCAGGTCAAAATACCTCTCAAAATAGTAATCAGAGGTTCGTCTAGCATTTTTATCACAATCTAATGTAGGTTTCAATCATGTCGAGCTTTTCTTGATTGGAATATGATTCATTTTTATAATAAAACTAGCTTCATCAGATTTCTTTCATTCTTCATCATCTTCACAGATTTCTAAGTTGAATTTAAACTTGAATGTCAAAAATTGAAAGATGTTATTATTTGTTGCTATGGAAACAATGCTATTACATGCTATGTCTGCTTCCATGACTTCGATCAACTAAATTGAAAAACTGTAAATTGTCCGCAGACACTTTATTTTCGAGAAAACCTAACTATGTCATACATCACAGAAATCGTAATAAAATGCTCTATTTGGTAAAGCAATAATCAAGTATGGTTGACATTTAAAAAAACTCAAATTTGTGTCACATGTCAAAAATTACAATTATTTGGGAGAAATGTAATATGCCATTTTGCTTGAGATTCAATTTCCTACAACTTTTCTATTTAATGTTTTCCTGTCAAATTAATATTAACGGAACTAGAAGTAATATAAAAATTAACAATAAATAAGTTTTTGCCATATATCTTTTGCAAGCTGTCAAATTTTAGAAAAATAAAATTGGTTTTGAGTAGTGCATTCAAAACTACGATTCTCTATCCATTTAATCTTTTTCGTAACTGCTATAGTTCCGACGATTCCTGTACTGGTCATCGGAAAATAGTCACCCTGTATACTGATTCAATACTTAACTAGCCCTGAAATACAACAAGCAAACAACAATTATAGAGAAAATTAACATATTTATTGTCATCGTAGAATTTTTTTTTGTGTCAACAAAACAAAGATACAAAAACCGCCATTGTACTTCAGTGTTCTGAGGATGACCCGAATAAAAGGGTCGAAACGTCGACAAACGTGTGGAGAAACTGCCTGTGTTTGATTTGTCCCGTATAATACTAACCCAAAAATAAACAATAAGGCTAAAATAAATTATTTTCTGCATGATCTCCATTTAGCTCTATACATTTTCAATGACCAATTTTAATTTTATCTGAAATGTGTTCAATATATTGGTTATGACTCATATTTTCATGTAAAAGTACCAAGCAATGTTAAGTGGGGGCTATTTGGAGGCCATGAGACAAGACGAGCTCGTCCAATCCGGTTATCAAAATAAAATAAGCATTTAAAAAATGCTACCGAGAGAACGTCTTGGATAATATACTTAATTCGTCAGCTTCGTTAACAAATGTTGTGCTCTTTTCTCTGATAATCCTACATAATCTTAAATGTGCTTCGAGATGGAACACGTCACACGTCTCTGGGGATACAGCGCATTTTATTATTTTCTGGAGGTTCACATGTTCTTTGTTTTGGTGAAATAAACGCACAATATCGCATTGTTCATGATAATAATAAGACATATTTGCTCATATTGTAACGAGTGGTGGCCATTTCAACACTATTTTGATTTGTTGTTATTTATAATTTTTAATACGCAGTACAAAAAAGCGGGCTTATAGAAATATAGGCAATTCCTCTATACAGGTTCGTTTTTTTTTTATCTTGAAACGCTTAAATATTTCGGAAACGAGTGATCCGAGGAAAAAATGTTTCAAATAAGAAGTTAATATTTTGGAGCGGGAAGTTTATGCGTGTCAGAAAAACAACGCCTACTTCAACCTTGTAGGCTAGGCAGGGGTCAACTTAAGAATTTCAAAACCACAACATTTTATTGGAGATTCGAATAGTACGTCAAAAACTGGGAATAATTTATTTAAAACATTTTTTTCGATTTTGACAGGTGGCGCTGTAATCCATCAATTATCAATTTTTTGCTTTAGATCTGCTAAACTATCTATTATTTAATTGAAACGCTGAAAATGTTAGTGTGACCAATAGCATCTATCAAAAACTATCTCATCTTTAGAAAGGTTGTTTTGGAGATCGCAATTTTGCGTTTTATTTCTTTGCTTGGATCTAGTTGGTCTGTTATGATAGTTCCTAAGTATGTAAATTTGTGGACCGTTTCAACCTCAACTCCATTCAATTCCAGTTCCGCACCCGTGTGAGGGTTACGACCACAGACCAAAAACTTGGTTTTACTTTCATTTATTTTGATGCCCATTCCCTCCCCTGCTTCGTGGATTCGATTCAGCAGTATTTGGAGACCTTAGATGTTGTCCGCGAAGATTACTGTGTAATCGGTATATCTTATTACCTTAAGTAATTTGCCATTTATTTTTATTCCATGTAGTTGATCCTGAAATGAAGTATTAAATAAAAGATCAGAATATAAATTAAACAGACAAAATACACCTGGTCTAACTCCTCG